ACCTCCCGTTCACTTCATTCGCCTGAGCAAACTTTTCTCAGAAATAAAGTTTTATTGAGTCATGCGCCTACGGTAATATTGTAAAAAAATTACTATTGCGGTATGACGGTATTTACAATATTGTTACATCCCTAAAATCTACACACTCACTATACCTAATAATATCATTTATCCATTTTGCTTTTTGAGCCATTTTGTTAATGCAGCTTCTTCTATTGATAAACTGTACCTTAAGGTAAATATTAAATTGCCATTGCTGTTTATTGAAGGTCTGTGCGTGCTGTCAACGACGGTCGGGGAGGGCAGTGGCGGTTCTAGTTTAAAATGACACCCTGGACGAACTATACACCCCCCACCTCCCTTGAATTGTTAGATTTGTTATTCAATACATATAACAATTTATTTATATTTATTCTAAATAAATACAATTAATATTAATTTTAATATACAATTATTAAATAAATAACAGAAATCAATCCTAAATATTACTGGAAAACAACAACTGAAGTGATTTGCCAAGATCAGTTAAGAAACCTTTCGCATGAAAATTAATTATGACAATTTTAAAGAATACAAAAAATGTATTATAGAATTATCTGTGGTCTTAGACCAGATCATGGCTGAGAAATCATGTTATGAAGTCTTACCTCCCTGACCCATTATCCCTCCTTTCTGCTTTAAAGGCATGCTTAGTGAAAGCAACATCATCATCAAATCATATAAACTTTAATCGACTATCAAAACTCGCTGCGTGACGACATCTCTGCACAAAAGGCTGTTAGTCAGTTTCACGGCGCATGAGCGGCGCCTATTTTGTCTGCGTGCATGCAAACAACCAACCGGGATTCACACAGGAGTGCGTGAGGCGCGCGGGAATGGTTTTCTGCGCGAATGCGTCAGTTTGCTTTCATCAGCATTGAACCAGCACTGAGGGGGAGAGACAATGAATCAGCTACGTCAGTAACACCAACAATAATTTAGTGGCTGCATTTTATTTATATATTTATTTAAATATTGGGAATTTATAAGTACATTTAAATCAATAATGTCAACAGCAAAATTATATTGGGGTGGCCAGAGTTTACAGAGGGGTGGCCGTAGCCACCCTTGGTCACCCCTTGGGGGCGCCCCTGTGTTTATGGTGGAATTATGGCGGCTTGAGGAAGCAACAGACTGTTCTACGACATAAACTTATTATTCCTACATCTTCTTCTTCTGAGACTAATTTCTATATGCATATTCTCCTAAAACGTTCATACTACAACCACTAAACTGCTCTGACTCGGGTTGCTTTATCTTTTCCAACTGATCTGACTTTTGCTTTTGCCAAAACTGACCCGGACAATTCTGGAAAGTCCCATTGACTTAACATTGGAGTAAACTTAGTGACCTCATCACTTTGCGTCACACTGTCATACAGACTTAATGTTGGGCTCATTAAACTCAGACTACCAATCTGCCAATCATTGATGACCTTTCATTTTACTAGCTACACCCTAGCAACCACTTATAGCACCCTAGCAACTGTTCCATAGACTTTTGACTATTAAACCACACTGAACTGAATTAATCTGAACTGAAACTCTGAAAACTGAAGTGACGCTGTTTACATTCACTATAATCTTCTGTGTGAAGCTGCTTTGACACAATCTACATTGAACTAGCAATATACCAACAAACATACTAACAACATGTTAATTCATACAATAAACATACTAGCAACATGTTAATTCATACAATAAACATACTAGCAACATGCTAAATCATAGTAAATTCATGCTCAGATGCTAGTTTATGCTAGAAACATGTTAATTGTTATACTAATTGTAGCAACTACTTGGAACAACTTGGGAACCACCTAGCAATGCCTTAGCAACCACCTAGCAACACCTTAGCAATGATCCAGAACACCTTAGTAACCACCTAGCAACACCTTAGCGATGACCCAGAATACCTTAGCAACTACCTAGCAACACCTTAGTAACCACCAAGCAACACCTTAGCAACCACCTAGCAACACCTTAGCAATGACCTAGAGATGCCTTAACAACCACCTAGCAACACCTTAACAATGACTTGGAACATGGTAGCAATCACCTAGCAAAACCTTAGCAAGCACTTGGCAACGACTTAGATCACCTTAACAACTGCCTAGTAATGCCTAAGCAAGTGCCTAGCAACCCCTCAGAACATCCTAGCAACCGCCTAGCAACACCTTAGCAACCATCTAGCAACGGCTTAGCAACTGCCTTGCAACCACTCACAACACCCTAGCAAACACCTAACAACGACTTAGAACACCTTAGCAACCGCCTAGTAATGCCTTAGCAACTGCCTAGCAACCACACAGAGCAAAACAACCCAAAACACCTTGGCAACACATTAGCAATTAACTAACAACACCTAAGCAACCGCCCATAAACACCTTAGCAACCAACTGGCAACACCTTAGCAACCAATTAGAACATCGTAGCAATAGCCTAGCAACACCTTAGCAATCGCTTAACAACTATCTAGCAGCGCCTTAGCAACCACCTAGCAACCAATCCAGAACCCCCTATCAACTGTCTAGCAGGAAACAGGCCATTATAAACTAGAATGCAGTGATGACTGATTCAGACATCTTGAAATCTAGACTGTCAGATCACAGAGCTTCAGTCTTGAACAAACCCAGAATCCAGGATAGAGTGTGTGTGTGAATGTGGTGTGGAGTGTGTGTATGAGGCTCATTGTTGTGTCAGAGACGCTGTAGAAGGACAGAGTTCCTGCACTGTGATCCACATACACTCCTATTCTAGAGGAGCTGACGGAGGGTTTAGGGAGATCAGTCTTTATGTTATTATGATAGAATGAGAAACTGTGAGAAGAGTACTCCAAACTCCAGGACTGATCATTGCGTCCAAATCCACACTCATTACCCGAACCCTTCCTGCTGATGCTCTTATATGACACTGATATTAACACACTTGCTCTGCTCCACTCCAGCTCCCAGTAAGAGCGTCCACACACACTCTCTCTACACAACACCTGAGGCCAAACATCAAATCTGTCTGGATGATCAGGATACGGCTGGACTGAACGTTTATATTCCACCGCTGTGTTTCCTTCAGACAGAACCAGCCTGTTATGCGCTGTGTTTGGATCCAAAGTGAACTGTTGAGAATCTGAAGAAGATAAAAATCAGGAAAAATATCAATGAATTTCTGAGTGACAATAATGAAATCATGACTGTATTATTATTGATCTGTTTCAGTTCATCAGAATGTCTTTACTCTAATATTATTTGCACTTTTGCTGATTAAGAAACAAGAACTATGAATGTTTCAGTACATGTTCAACCCCAAACCAGAACACACTGGGACAGTATAGAAAAGGCGAATCAGGAAAGTGGAGATTTCTAAATGTTCTTTGACTTGTATTTCACTGCAGATGATAAAATAATCCTGATTTAATGTGTTCCTCATGACTTTTATTATTAATCACCAATTTCTGTTCCTGCAACACATTTAAATAAAGTTGTATCAGTAAAGCATTTATCAGTCTGTAATGTTGCCGTTCCTTTTCACAACACTTAAAGACGTTTAGAGACTGAAGACAGCAAGTGATGAAGAGTTTCAGGTGTCATTTTCCTCCTGCAAACAAATCTAAAGGTGTCTTAGGAAGGTTTCTACACAGAGTTGAATAAATGAGACTTTAACTAACCCAGTAAGATAAACTAGCTGTGTGATTATATCTAGAGCTGCTGATTCTGTAGAGTTCAGTGTGTTTAATGTAGATCAGGGTTGATTTGAGCAGTTCAGCACAGTTCAGTCTGATTGATGATATATGATAAGAATATATGGAAACGGCCACAAGAGCTCATTATAGGTGTTTCATTCTCAGTCAGCTCATTCAGGTTAATGGCTTTGAGCAAAACCCCGAAACCTCACACAACATCTCACTCATCAGAACGCTCTCGTCTCAGGAGCTCAGTGATATATTCCAGTGACATATGCTGGTTAATGCAAGTCCTGCAATCGTGATGATGAGCATTATAAGCGTGTGTGTTTTACTGTCTCCTGTTTACATGTGTGTGTGTGTGTGTGTGTGTGTGTGTGTGTGTGTGTGTGTGTGTGTGTGTGTGCTGTTTAGCCAGGTGAACATCACTACACGTGTTAAAGCTACTGTAGCAGCCCTTGGTGAGCGGAGTGAGGTGTGTAAGTTTTGTTTTGAAACTGTTAACTGAGCCAATTATTGTTTATCTGTGACTTTACACAGCTCATCTACTGTTCACTGTACACAAACGCCTGATCATGAACTGTAAAGGTGTCAGAGTTCATTATCAATCTGCTTTGTGCTGATTTGTGTGTTTACTTCTAGTTTTCACTGTTTCTGCTGGTTCCAGAATAAAACACATTACAGCCATCAGAGACTCTCTGCCTCATATGAAGGAATCCAACACAATATATAACTATAATCTTTAATGTTCAGTATGATCAGAGTCACTTACACTGGAGGAACTGCTCACGGGTCTGTGGTTGAGGAGTGGGAATAGTGCTAATGGTTCTCACTGTGGAGACAAACAGATGATTTAATATTGTCACATAATACAAATGTGTTTAAACGTCATTAGATACATTACCATTATCATTAGAAAGCTTACCTCGACTAGATATCATTTCTATCTCCTCAGTGCAGAACTGCTGCAGTTTGTCTCTCAGACGAGACACAGATTCAGCAAGTTGATCAAAAGCGAGCTGCGAGCTGCTAATAAAGCTGGATGAGTCTGTAGATCCAGGAGGGACAGAGAGAGACTGCAAACTCTACACAGACACAACAGAAACAGCAGCTGAAGACACACAAACACAATCTCTGCTCCACATGCTCTTCCACTGTCCTGTGTGTCACCTGGAGGAAATGGATGTGATCTTCTGTGTGTGAAAGCTGCTCCAGCTCAGCGTTTCTCCCCCTCAGATCATTGATCTCCTGCTCCAGTCGCTCCAGTCGTTCTTCAGCTCCACTCACTGCAGTCTTTTCTCCATCTCTGATCATCTGCGTGAGCTCCGAGCGGCTTCTCTCAATCCAGCAGATGAGCTGAGTGAAGATCCTCTCGGTGTGGTCCACTGCGGCCTTTGCAGAGCGCTGTCAGACACACACACACACACACACACACACACACACACACACACACACACACACACACACACACACACACACACACACACACAGAAGCATTGGAGTGTGAAAGGCCTCTTCAGCTGCTGTTCTTCTGCTCAAACTCACCTTGTGAGACTCCACAGCCTCTCTCAGCTCCTCCAGCTCCTTCTGTCTCTCCTGGAGTCTCTGCTGGAATTTGCTCTGGGTTTCCCTCAGCCGACTCTGCAGGATTTAAAGCAAAGTGGATTATTATATATAATTAGACAAATAATGAATGATGCAATCAAACTACCAACAGAGAAATATAAGATAGTTAATGTGTCGCTGTTAATTATCTCTATGTAAAGAGTCTGAGTGTAGTTTATTGTAATTTATGCATCAATTCTGTCATTAATGGTGCTTTAAGGAATTGTGTGGAGCTAAACATCTCTTGTAGCTTGATAGAAATCTGAAAGATCTCATATAAACTATTTTAAAAGTATAAATAATCCATTTAAAGTAGTTTAAGTGAGCAGTAATTACATTTTAGCCAAGTGTAATTTCTAGTATCTCTTCATTGCTAGCATGAATAAAACACTGTTTGCTAGAATGAGTGAAGGTAGTCGAGTCCTGTGTGTCTATAAGATGTTCTGAGCTAGAGATATTGAGCTTTTTAAATGGTTGCTAGGGTAGACTGTTTAGTTGCTAGGGAGTGGTTTGGCATAGCAAGCTCTGTGTCTGTATGTCATTCAGATTTAAAGAAGTGCTTCAGGTCTGGATTGGTAGGCTGGTGTAAATGAATGGAGTTCTTGATCATCTGAGTCCAAACAGCAACTCTCAGGTGTCTTCAATGCTGATCCACTGATATTCATATCATTCCTTCACAACGGATGTCTATGTCTATGCTAAAGCTAAAGAAAGCTAAAAGGTCAGTTTTATATTGCAGATGTTTGGACTCAGTAAAATGAGCAGAACCTCAACAACAGACTCTGATGCAGAGTTATGAGATCACAAATTCTGGTCCAGTGTTAAGTCAATGGCAGTTCTCCAGTCAGATTTCAGAAAACTACAAGTCGGATGAGTCAGAAAACACATGACAACCTCAGTCATCATAGTGTGAAGGTGTGACGTGAGGTTGATGTTTTCAGTGTTGCCAACTTATAAAGAGCTGTAAAATTGAGTTAGTGTAGATGCTCATTAGTTTTGAACTCAACATGTCTAAGTGTTAATTGTTCAGGCAGAAATACAGAAAGGAGTGGGAGTCTGTACCGGAATATAAAGGATGGCTGAAGCCAGTACCTGGGGATGACGGCCAAGCAAACTGTGCAGACTGCAGATCAGATATGCTTGCAGAAATGTATGACATTAGAAAACATTGTGCTACAGCAAAGCAGTCTGTGATGCAGCTCATACAGTAACTGTGTCCACAGGGAATGGAGACTGGATCCTTCAGGAGATCCAGACACACCGAACAGCTGAACTCATGATGAGCCAAAGACACACTGGATTCTGCCATTTTACTGCTCATACAGAGACACCGACTCAACACACCCAACACCGACTATTACTTTCGGTTTTTGAGTTAACTTTCGATTCCTCTCAGCTCTGACACTTCCTGTGTGCGTCATAATAAACTCCGCCACTAGAGGACAGTCTAATGCAGAAATAAACCCACAACAGTTCGATAAATAAGTAGCTTATATCATTTTTTAAATGTCTTGTAATTCTCTTATGAATTTTAGATGATCATTTTCTGCCATTTAAATAATTAATTCTTTGATTTATGCAGAATATTTATTAAGGAAATCCTAGTGCAAATTTATATAGTCAGTAATGAAGAATTGATGGACTTGGCAACATCCACACTCATGTGTCAGGAGACCAATGAAAGGCGTGTTTCTGCTTGAAGCGGCTCTTTTTTTATTAACTTCAAGAAACTGTATAATACAACTTAGAATACAGTAAAAGATAACAGTTCTTTTACACAATAATCACATTACATACACAAGATAAAGAGCAAAAATAAAACACAATTTATAAAAGAATAAAAAAATAATATAAAAATGTAAAAAGTTAAAAGAAAAAACAGATAAATATTCGAGTAGCATGAAAGATCTCATCATATTTGCTCAAGAAAGAAGCACATTTCTGATTCTCAATTAATCTAAGAGATTTAATTAAATGTTCTATTTCACACAGGAAGTCTATAAAGATTGGATTTTTTTAAGGAACCTCTGTTTGTGAAAGTAAAATTTCCCAGCAAGTTTATGAAAGTTCACAGTGGCTTCTAGTGACTTGTTTTGGTTTTCAAAATAACAAATAACATCCTTAAGGTACAAATTACCACTCATATGAACCTTGGAAAAACAATATGAACTTAAATCATCCTAAAACAGTGATGATACATCGCAAGAAAAAAAGAAGAGACAAATGTCTTCACACTCATTCTTACAAAATGAGCAAATATCAGTAACATCACAATATTTGGATAAAAGTGCATTACAATAAAAATTTAAAGTGCATCTCTTTCATTTTATTAGGAATGCAGAATTTATATGGTGATAATCATGTTTTCCTCCATTGAATATTAACAATTATGGAACCTTTAAACTTTCCTCTAGGAGTGATTGCGTTATGTGACTGCGACACTTGATGTATAAACTTATTATTGCTTTATTTACTAAGACTAGATCTTCCTCCTAGGTGTAACTGTGACAATTGTTTGGAAGCTGCGTCATAACTAAGAGCTGCTTTCATCAGACATAGTAGTCCACTAGTTATAGCCTTTATAATAAAGCGATCAGGGAATTGATAAATGTTTATAAAACTCAAAAAGATCCCCGTTACTGTTAAAAAGATCAGAAACAAAAATAATGTTTTTGTTAAACTATTTATCCCAGAAAAAAGATTTATTATTTATCTTAATGTCTACATTATTGCAGAAAATGGTTTTGTGGGGTGAGAATTTGTGGCTGTAAGTCAGTTTCCAGGCTAAAAGAGCTTGTTGATGGAATTGAGCTAATTTAATAGGTAATTTACCAACGGAGTAATTGCATTTCATTAAAAAAGAAAGGCCACCAATCTTTTTAAATACATTGTTTGGAATAAAAATACCACATAGAGCCTGAACCAAGCAAGCATCTCTTCAGCCAATTGATTTTAAAAGTATTATAGGTGTCATCAAAATTTGGGACTTCATGACCCCCCTCACTCCCTTCAATTTGTGAGGCTTATTATTCCAAAATATAATCAAGAAAAATTTTGCCCATTTTTTTAGAGGTGTGATTATCTACTGCTAAAGATAATGAGGGGTACACACATCTAGATAACCTATCTGTTTTGGTTAAGAAGACTCTGCCTAGAATTGATGAATCTCTTTGGAGCCACTGTTAAAACTATATTTTACTTTAGATAATCTTGTTAAACAATTTAAAAACTGTCTGCTAATTAGATTTGTTGTTATATTAATTCCTAAGTATTTTACTTCATTTTTGATTGGTATATTTTTAATTTTTGCATCAAAGGTGTCATACAAGCAAATCATTTCACATTTTAATAAATTTAGTTTGAGTCCAGAAGCATTAGAGAATGCATTAATAATGATTAAATTAGGAGACACTTGATCTTTATCCTTTAAAAATAGTGGAGTGTCATCTGCTAATTGTGATATGCGAATCTCTCTGTTAAAGATATTAATACCAACCAAATCATTATTATGTAGAACAGGTGTCACCAACATGGTGCCCGTGGGCTAGAGGATCACATGAGTTGCCCGTGGACCTGTTATAAAGTTAGCTTACCATAGCACCACATACCAGTAAGCTGCATCAAATTTTTTTTGTAGCTATTCTTTTTAAATCACACTTGCATTGGTTGATATTTATCTGCTTCCATTCATTGTTGACAACTATTGTGAGAAATCATTAATATGATCAGTGTCTTCACATAAATGAATATCATTAATTGTCAATAACATATAATTAAAAGTAAATTGAGCAAATTTGTTATTAGGAAGTGTGTATCAAACTGGTAGCCTTTCACATTAAACGATACCCAAGAAGTAGCTCTCAGTTTCAAAAAGGTTGGTGACCCCTGGTGTAGAATATCTATAGATAGAGTTTCTTTTTCTCTTTTTGCCTTCCTCACGAGCCTTCTTGACTAAAGACCATAACTTGGCTCCTGCATCCGCATCCTGTTTGATTAACGCCTCCTTGATGCGAAATCTGTTTTCTGCTACGATAGCGAGAGTCTTTTGCAGCTCGCCATTCAATGTCTCTGTAGTGCCAATTGTTGCTTGCAAGGAAAAGATTTAATGCATTGCAGGCTCACTGTAATATACAAAATGTTCTTAATGTAAGCACATGGGTTTAAAATAAACAAAGAGCCGTGCACGCACAAGCGGTGGGATTTTTAACTTGCTCCCGAATCTGCTGCAAATCGTTGCTTTCCCTTTGCCACTTGTTTCCCGCGGCCCGTGGGAAAATATCTTTACATTAAAGTGACGTTGCTGCTCAGCATGTATCATCTCCTGATTATTCAACTCATTTTATTGCTTTAAAGTCATTATTTAAGAAATTAACTCTTCTTCTTTATATTAGTCAGTGTCTTTCTTACCCTCGTGCTGCGTGGGTTTCCTCCAGGTGCTCCGGTTTCCCCCAAATCCAAAGACATGCGGCATGCGCTGCGCTATACTGTAGGTGAATGTAATATGCTAAATTGGCCGTAATGTGAATGAGATGTACGGATGTTTCCCATAGATTAGTTGCAACTGGTCGAAAGGCGTCCGCTGCATAAATCATATTCTGTATAAGTTGGCCGTTCATTGCGCTGTGGCAACCCCAGATTAATTATATATATATATAAATTATTTGTATTTTTTTTTTTGCTATTGAGTGATTATAAAGTTTTAATCATTATTAAGACGTTAAGTGAATTAAAATGGCATCAGATTATGGCAGGTGAATGTTAACATTACTGTTAAGCTTTAACTTAAGACTTAGCCTAAGAGTTAGCCT